CCTCGGGAGCTGCTGCCTCAGAACTGGGCAAAGGCCAGGGCGGCCATGTTGCCTGGTGCCTTTGTCTGGGTGGCGTTTTTTGAGACAGCCAGGGCGGGAGAGGCGCGCTCAGGCCCAGGGCTGGTGGCCATAGCTGGAGCTCTACCGCCACCGTGCGGAACCAGTTTCCAGACGCCCTGCGCCACCCCAGCCTCCTTCCCAGGAGGCCTCGCTGTGGGGGAGGATCCACGTTTCCAGGAGCCACTTCCAGGCGGCTGGGGCTGCCCTCTGGGCCTCCTGGCCTTCTCCCGGGGTCCTGAGGGAGACCTGGGCTCTGGCGCGCTCTCAGCAAAGGACCTGGAGAGCCAGGGATCTGAGGGGACTAGCAGTGGGCAGGAGCTGGTGTCACAGGAAGTCGTGGGGCGGGGCTTCGATTCGGAGCTGAGTGGAGTGGAGCAGAGGGACCTGCTAAGGAATTGCAATGCAGGGAGGTCGCCTGGGGTTAAGGCGCCCAGTGCAGGGAGGAGCTGAATTCCCTGAAGCAGGGGCTGGGGGCAGTTGCTTTCGCAGGGCAACAACCAGAGGCAAGACAGCTGTCTCCCGCTTAGTTACTGATGTCCAGGGCTGATGTGTCCCAAGCAGAGAGGAGATTATGTGCTGCAGGCAGAAGGTAGTGCCCCCAGAGCTGTGCATGCAGCCAGGGCTGTGTATAGCCACCATGTCTATGCTTATCATGGGCTGCGGTGGCTCTCCTTCTCGCTGATCAGAGAAGTACCCGGCAGCAACCTGCGTAGGTCCCATTGGCCTGATGGAGTCCTCTATGGTAGAGATGAGCAACCCGCCCGCCAAGCGCCAAAGGCCCAGACACTGGCAGGACAGGCCACAGTCCTTGAACTGACCTCTAGGGCCAGTGCCCAGGTCTCCCTCGGGGCCCTAGGAGAAGGCAAGGAGGCCCAGATCTGAGCCTAAGGATCCTCCAAATCCCTGCTTGCCAATCTGACCAACAGCTAGGCCTCCTGGGAAGGAGGTTTGAATGGAGCTGGGTATGGTGAAACTGTTTCCGCACGATGGCAGTAGAGCTGCAGACATGGCCACCAGCCCTCTTCCTGAGAGCTCTTCTCCCGCCCTTCCTGTCTGAAAAAACACCACAAAAAAAAAAATGCTTACAGAATCAAGTTATCAAGAAATAGTTGTTTTTTCCCCTTCGAAAGTATTTATTTATGCATTTTTGCTGTACTAGTGAGCTAGTACACCCTACCCCTGAAATTTTAATTTTTTCTCGGGAAACAGGCTCTTGCTAACTTCCTTAGGGCCTCACTCATTGCTGAGTCTGCCTACTAGCTTGCAGTCCTCCTACCTTGGCCTCTCATATTGCTGGGATCATAGGTATGGGCCAGAAAGCTCTAGAATTTAGTGAATTAAACAGTGATGTTTAAGGAGGAGTCCAAAAGGAGCACCTGCTAAAACAAAGAAAAGCATCAGCAGGAAACCTTCCAGATGACCCATGAACCTTTTGGATTCTTTCTATGTATATTGTTAAATCTATACCCACATTGGTGTAGAATCAGTCTCACTTGAGGGGAAAAGAATCCATAATAAATTTGAATTAATGCTCCTAACATAATTTAGAGCAGACTTCTATTTCACGCAGCATCGAGGAGCTGAGGAACATGAACTCTCATGAACGTCATCCTTCCTAAAACTCTGTTTTATACATTTGAAGCCTAAAGGAGAAAGGTGAAATTCCTAGTCAATAGGATCACAGCTTATGAACACCTGACCTGGTGTCTTAGTGGTTTTGTTGGAAACCACAGCATCCAACAATGAAATGACAGCATGACCTATCTCCGAAAGGGCAGTGTGTGTCCCCTGGAATTCCTGGGTTGAAACCTGAATCCCTGAATTACAGGTTGATGGTATTTGGAGGGACTGTGGGAGGTGAGTGGCTCATGAGGACCCTGCCTTCATGCAGAGATCAGGCCATTCAGGGATTAATAGGTGTGCTCAGGAGTGACTTTGCTATCAGAGTCAACACTCTTCAGTGGGACTGCTCTGTCTGGCCTCATCCTATATTATGATGTAGCCCAAAGACTCTCACCAATGGGCCTGCACATCCCCAGGCCATGTTCGTGGACATTCCTGTCTCCAGAACCATGAGCCAAACAAATTCCATTCCTTTTCTGGCTTTGGTACTGGGCATTGAACCCACAAATGCTCAACCACAGAGCAGCATGCCCAATCCTTTTCTTAAACTTCTAATGAGTTTTTATTTGGGGGCAGGATCTTTTAAGGTAACTAATTGTCTCGCTATGTGGTAGCAACTTTGCAATTTGCGTTCCTCCTGTCTTAGCCATACTGGCCACCAGGACACGGGCATGCACCAGGACAACTGGCAAAATTTTATTTTTTACCAAATAGTAACCCTCCAGTATTCTTATAGCATGGAAAAAAAAATGCCTAGGATGCATGACTGATCTACCTCTCAACTCTGAAGGACACATATATGACAATATATTTTTTCAAAGTCATCACATGTGTTAGAAAATGAGTCAAAGATACTTTGTAATTTGTCTGGTCTCCTGTTAGCCCTGTGAACCGCTGGGCAAGTAAAGAGAAGCAAAGTAAATAATAAGGGAGTGGAGAAGGTACCATGGGGCAAATGAAATTCCCAAGAACCAGAGTAATGATGCCAGGGTGAGGATTCATGCCTCCACTTAATTCCAAATTAAAAACAAAAGCAGAAGAAAGGCCTGGGAGGCTGAAGCAAAACACCAACAGATGGAGGCCCTCCTGGTCAACCTACCTCAAAAGTTCACAACTTAAACCTGGTGCAGTAATGCAGACCTGTAATCCCAGAGGCTGGGGAGGCTGAGACAGGAGAATCCCGAGTTCAAAGCCAGCCTCAGCAACTGCAAGGCACTAAGCAACTCAGCGAGACCCTGTTGCTAAATTAAACAATACAAAATAGGGCTGGGGATGTCGCTCAGTAGTCCGGTGCTCCTGAGATCAATCCCTGGTATGCCTCCCCCCTACAAAATAATAATAGGAAAAAAATTTTTTTAAACTGAGATTGTGGCTCAGTGGCAGAGGGCTTGCCTCGTACGTGTGAGGCACTGGATTCGATCCTCAGCACCACATAAAAATAAAAAAATAATAAAATAATGGTATTGTTTCCATCTACAACTAAAAATTTTTTTTTTAATTATTAACAATGAGGGGCTGGGGATGTGGCTCAAGCGGTAGCACCCTCGCCTGGCATGCGTG